TGTACAGCTACAACCCAAACTAGGCTTTCACCTTGACTGCTGCACACCCTCTCCAAGGATGAAGGGGTGGTTTGTTCCCATGTCCACTCAGCCTGTCGCTCTTCAGGTAAGATTGACAAGGATGATGATAAAAGGCAGCACTTCTGGTCAATGTGTTTCTCTCGCAGTGGCAACCTGACTGAAAACCAACTGACTTAATACCTTGCAGTGAGCACCAAGCTGCAATTTGCACAAAGTCCACCCAACCAGAAGTGAAAAAGAACAAAGATCATCATTTCCTACTAACCCACACAACCTCCACCCCATCCTTCTCTTCACAGCTGCACATTTCTGTCAGAGGAATGGAATTAGAGTCCTAAGGACAGCAAAGTGCCATTAGACAACCACTGCACAAGCTCCGACCCTCCCGTGTGAATTAGAATCAAATTACTTTCATTGTGGCTGTCTGGGCACACAGATCCATTCAAAATGAGGATCAGGACTTTTAACTGCTATGACCTTCTTGGTTTTTTTATGAGAGGCCTCAAAAATCCTGCAAGTGAATTGGGCTGGGCTATTTCAATGGGTCTGAAACGAAGACTACCTTAGATATTTTGGGGATCAAAAAGCTGCTCATTCACCTGTGTTTAGACCTCCACAGAGTACCTTGTTATTGCTTAAAGAGCAAACAGAAATCACTGGAGAAATGATGTGCAAGTAATCCAATTCTGCTTCTACGAAAAATACTGAGAAACAAATCACATACTCGTATTAACAGGCGAAAACCGTATTATTTTCTGAATTCACTTAAAGCAATAATTAGATTATTTTGCAATTTTTTCCACTTGGGATTATTTTTTAATTGGGTCAACCGAATGTGAATGTGTGATGATAGATGTGAATAATTTCAAAGCAACAACATTTTTTAACAAGTTCGGATGGGGAGGAGAAACAAGAAGGTGAAATGTAAGTACACTCCGTCAATAAACACCTATATTTTCCATTTATTTTCTTTATCTTATGTAATGCTGAGGACATTTCCTTCTGTATCGTTAACACCTCATACTGCCAGTGTTGACAACTCAGGAAAACAGGCTGCTTACTCACCAAACCTTCATCAGCAGAAGCAATGATAAGAGCCCTCCACAGAGTACAGAATAACACTCCCTACAACTCTCAGCTCACTTTTTTACCCGCAGGCTTACGTAAATGACAGGGTTTGTGATCAGCCTTAGTAACCAAGGGGGCACCAGCAGATCAAAGGTGACCAAGGGCAGATCTGCCCTCTCACAGGGAGGCAGTTTCTGCCCCGTGGAGAGACCCCAGCTCACCCCTGCCCACCCCAGAGCCCCTCCTAAATGATCTGCTGCTCTCACTTTGCACAAGGGTTCCCTGATGCCTATGTAGGAGTGAAGGACCCAAAATAGATGAGGATCAGAGATCATTTTCAGCTCTTTTACAAGGGGCTTAGAGGGACTCTTATCTCTAATTAGGAAGGTGGCTGTCACAGAAAGATATGTTCTGCTGAGACTTATGCTGAAGTCAATTGTAGTTTAGGTATTACAACAGCTGAGGAAGGATTAGTCACTACACACTGAAAGGGAGAAGTAATAAAGCAGAATAAACTGGAGTAACCTACTAGCTCTCTGAAGGTGAGTTAAGCAGTTGAGAGAAGCGATATAAATAACCAGTCATTAGGAGAACAAGAAATATCAAATTTACATTATTTAAATCTTATTTGTAATTTTAATTTTTACCCTTAACATTATGAAAACAATAACCTTATCTTTTAAAAAATGCATACAATGAAAGCTCTATTCATTTTCCCCAAAACAAGAAATCAGAACTTAATGAATTCTGAAGTCTTTTAGCCTTGCTCAACTAAAATCTAGTCACTAAAGGCCTTTTTTTACTTATATAAAACCCAAAAATATGTCCATTCAGTCTTAAACGAAATGTATTTCTCCTTGAAATAGCTCAAAGACCTTTTTTTTGAAATTAAATCTTTAATTTTAATAGGTAAAGATTAATAATGAAGCTATAGTTCATCACTTGCATGAAATGTAGCAGTTTTTAGAAGGTACCATGATTTCTTTTCAAAATCCCATTCATTTCATAGTGTGGCAAAGGAAAAATACTAAAATCTAGAACTGCAAAGGGAAGGAGTGGAAAAAAGTTCTGTATAAAGTCGACCTCCAGATTCTTCTATGATACTCATGTATGAAGGGAAGGAGTGCAAAAAAGTTCTGTATAAAGTCGATCTCCAGATTCTTCTATGATACTCATGTAAGTCTGGGTATGTCACTTCACTCCTGGCTACATCTAATGCTGTAAAAAAATTGGAAGGGAATTCTGTAAAAGAAACCACAGGGTAGAAAAGCTGTGGGTGTTGTTGGTGCCCT